GAGGGTTCGGATCCCACATACAGACCGGCCGCTCACTGGCTGAGCAAGAAGCGGGGGCAACACCGAGGGTTGCGATCCCGTAGCCGGTCCCGGTCCGGTACGGGCGCGACACTGAGGGTTGCGATCCGATGCCGGTCACAAAAAAAGACAAAAAGGAAGAAAAAAAAAATATTTTAATATATTTATTAAATTATATTTTTAAAATAATCCTATAGGAAATGACGATCACTCCCGAACAGATAATCGTCCCCGTAATCCAAGAGAGGCTAAAGGAAGAACAGCAGATGGATCTCTTCAGGTAAAACCTGTGTGCCTCTTTACATCTAAATTTTTTTAATATGGTAGTTTGAGATTTGCGTTTATTTTATTTTTAAACGTGTTCAAAGATTGCAACTTTGGTATATGTGATTTATTTTCCCTTCAACATTATAATTGTGAGCAATCGTAGCCCTTCGTGACAAGCACAGAAATAAGAGGATTTCTCTAGAGAATATGCAGTCTAAGTAAGTATTTGTGAAGACTTTGACAGTCCTCAATTCCCCAAGAAAAGAAAACATCCTGGAATATACTAAGAGACCTGAATAAGCCCGGTAGGAGCCTTCTTTCCTGAGTTGCAGGGATAGGAGCCATTCTCTCTCATGTCTATTCTTGATAGACAGGACTGATGAGATGCAGCTAGTCATCATGCCAAGTCAGTCAGCTGCTTATTTACAGCCAGGTCTATTCTGAGGATCCCTTCTCAATCTGTCATAGCCAGTGCTAAACCCATTGTTAAATGATTTTAAAATTACCCCTGAGCACATTCAGGCACCTCTGCTAAGTGCTTTGTATATGTTTTATTTAATCTTACAGCAGCCCACTGAGGTAAGTGGTTTTACTATTTCATTTTATAAGTAAGTAAACGAAGCTTTAGTCCTTTGCCCGAGGTCACATAGCTAGCAAATGGCAGAACAATATTCAAATCCTGGTATATGATTCTCAGAACCCGTGTTCTCGTCTGCTTTTTCTGTATCTTTAAACTCTTATTTCTGAAGCCAAATAGTTAGGGTTTCTTTCTGACCATGGGTTGGTTTGGGACCAACACCCAAGAGTAGTGAGAGATACTTGTTAAGGCAAAAACTTTATGATGTAATATTCTGTAGAATTCATAGCATCTCTGAGTAGATGTTAACTACTTCTGGGTTCTTAAGGACCAACATAGAAAAGGCCTTGGACATAAATAAAAAGAAAAATGGAATACTGAATCAAAAGGTGGTGTTTTCTGTGCAAGTATGAAAATAGATACAAATCAAAGCACTAAATCCTCGACAACCAAACATTTAAAACACACACCCGGATCAAACACTTAAGCACACTTCAAAATTATGGTCAACCATCTTGGGATATTTTTAGCATTTGTACTTGAAGCAGATCAATATTTGTAGTTGTTTTACGTACAATGGTCATTATTATCTTCCTTTTGTATAGCATCTGGAATGCTGTTAGCAGTATTCAGCATTGGCGCTTAGAATATTTTGTAACTCTTAGAATATTATTTTTTAAATTGCATTCATCTTTATATTCTCCTAGGATTCCAGTCCTTCCACAAATTATTGTCTTCAGATTTCCCTATACCATTTTGTTCTTCAGAGTTCAAGTTGTAGGATCATCTGAATTGCCTTAGAAGCTACTAGAAAGCCACACTCATAATTTTCCTACTGTATGATGATGAGAGCTCTTGGTATAGAGAAACTTAATTATAAGTATGATAGACATAAACTTGTAAACTAAAGGCTATTTAATAGGTAAGTTAGTTAAGTTCTTATCCTGGTAAAATCAGAATGGGAAAACATAATTTTATGTCTTTGTTCCTGGGTTTCACAATCTGGAGAATAACCCAAGTGAACTCTAGTGTTAGAGTATGTATATCTTCTGGTAATCAGTAATAGTAATTCATTTTAACTGTTTGTTTCTCACTGTTTTATTCTGCTTAGAAGAAGACACAGTAGGATTGTGAGTTTTTCTCTAACTTTGGACGCAGTGAGATGACCAATGTGTTCCAGTTAAAGAAGAAGAGTGTTTTAAAATCATAAACCAAATAAAGATCCTACCTTACCTTAATTTCTTGCACTTCTGGTCTCATCTCCATTTCCCCTTTTAACAAGTAGAATTTACACTTCAGGCTTAAATTTCTTGTCAGGCCAATTACAGATTACAGTAGGATATGGTCTGTATGTATAACAAATATAACTTGTTTTAGATCAGAGTTGACTGCAATAATGAAAGGAGTGTCCACACTAAAACATTACAGAATACCTCCAGTGAAGGTAATCGGCTGCGCACGGGTAAAGATCGTAACCAGAAGAAGGAAAAGCCAGACAGCATGGATGGTCAGCAACCACTTGTGAATGGAGTACCCTAAACTGCATAATTCCGAAGTTATATTTCCTATACCATTTCTGTAATTCTTATTCCATATTAGAAAACTTTGTTAGGCCAAAGACAAATAGTAGGCAAGATGGCACAGGGCGTGAAATGAACACATATACTGCTAAGAATTTTATTTCATTTTTTGGTATTGGCCATAAGCAACGATTTTCAGATTTGCACAAAAAGATATCTTGAAATTTGAAATATTGCTTTTAATTATACTTAGCACTTCAGGGCAGGATTTTAGTTTTATTTTTTAAAGTACTGAGCCGTAATATTCTTAGTTAATTTACCATTTTTCTGCATTGGGTGATAATTCACCAGTACATTTCAGTTTTTCTGAATAAATAGAATTTATGGTAATCATTTTAGAGTTCGGTTTTCAGTGTCATAATAGAAGTCTTCGTGAAATGCTGTGTCATTTCATGTCCTGTGTCAGTTTATGTTTTGGTCCACTTTTTCAGTATTTTAGTGGACCCTGAAATTTGTGTGATGTGACATTTGTCATTTCCATTAGCAAAAAAAAAAAAAAAATGTTGTATGATCTGTGCCTTTTTTATATCTTGGCAGGTAGGAATATTATATTTGGATGCAGAGTTCAGGGAAGATAAGTTGGAAACACTAAACGTTAAAGATGTAGCAAACCCTGTCAAACATTAGTACTTTATAGAAGAATGCATGCTTTCCATATTTTTTTCCTTACATAAACATCAGGATAGGCAGTATAAGGAATAGGACTTGTTTTTGTTTTTGTTTTGTTGCACTGAAGTTTGACAAATAGTGTTATTGAGAAGGATGTGTAATTTTTCTGTATAGACAGGAGAAGAAATAACTATCTTTTCGTTTGTGAGAGGCTAAAATGTTTTCAGCTAGGAACAAATCTTCCTGGTCGAAAGTTAGTAGGATATGCCTGCTCTTTGGCCTGATGACCAATTTTAACTTAGAGCCTTTTTTATTTCATCCTCCCCAAAGTTTGTGAAGTTTCTCATGTTTTAATTTCAAGTTTATTTTGGGGAGATAGGAAGGTCATTTCCATGTATGCATAATAATCCTGTGAAGTACAGGTACTTTGTCTAAGAAACATTGGAAGCAGGTTAAATGTTTTGTAAACTTTGAATTATAAGGTCTAATGTATAAGCAGAATTGGAAAGCAGACTAGGATTGGTTAACAAATAAATGTTTTGTTTTTTCCTTTTGTTTATTGATGTGCTGGGTTTTGGTTTTGTTTTTGAGTCTTTTTTTTGTTGTTGTTAATGAATGGAAATTACTGAGGAAAAATATGTGAAGGACCTTCATTCTAAGATGTTATATTTTTCTTAAAAAAATAACTCCGAGTAGGGGTACCACTGTATCTGTACAGAGCCGTACAAACCGAAGTTCTGCCTCTGATGTGTTTTGTGAGTTTATTTCTTCGAATTTTCATTTTACAGTTACTTTTCCTTGCATACAAATAAGCATATAAAAATGGCGACAAACTGCACATGATTTCACAAATATTAAAAAGTCTTTTAAAAAGTATTGCCAAACATTAATGTTGATTTCTAGTTATTTATTCTGGGAATGTATAGTATTTGAAAACAGAAATTGGTACCTTGCACACATCATCTGTAAGCTGTTTGATTTAAAATACTGTAGATAATTAACCAAGGTAGAATGACCTTGTAATGTAACTGCTCTTGGGCAATATTCTCTGTACATATTAGCGACAACAGATTGGATTTTATGTTGACATTTGTTTGGTTATAGTGCAATATATTTTGTATGCAAGCAGTTTCAATAAAGTTTGATCTTCCTCTGCTAAATTGATGTTGATGCAATACTTACAAATGATTGCTTTTAAAATTTTAAGATAGGAAAAGAAATCTATAGAAAGTGTTCTGTTACAAAATGTAACCGTTACCATTGGAAATTTCACATGTTGTAGGAAGTTAGTTGTTATCTACCAACTTTCAAGAACTTAATCTTGTTTAATAAAGTGAAAAAAATCAAGATGGTACAAAAACAACAGTGTGCCATTACAATATGCACTAAGTCTCTTTTTTACAAAGGCTGAATTCAGCGAGGCGCTAACTTGCTTAAATGTGAATTACTAACTTCTAAAACTGTAATTTGATTCACATGTTTTCAAATGGAGTTGGAGTTGATTCATATTACAATATTTGTGTGCTAAACGTGTATGTTTTTCAGTTCAAAGTCATGTTTTTAATATCTTATTAAAGTTTCAAAAGATCTGAAGATTGTTTATCTAGATGTAAATTTTTATTAAAAAGTTGCACTTATGAAAAAGCAAAAATTAGTCTGACAGATGTTTGCTCCTGGTTTTAAATTTCTAAATCTGACAATAATTAATGATATGTTGGGGGAAAGATATTTTTCATGCAGAGCAAATAGGCGGTACAAATAATCTTTTATGTGCCTAAAAGGCAAAACTGAAAATGTTTGCAAATAATTCTCCATATTCCCAGTTATAAAATTTCAACACATTAATTACATAGGATTCCACAAAATCATATTGAACATATACTCCTGTCTGTGCACACATAAACATACCCTGCCATTTGGAAAATATTGTGTGTCTATGTGGTAAAAAAAAAAAAAAATAACCATTGATGTCAACATCTCAATCATAAATGACAAGTTTGTAGGTAAAATGTGCCTGGGAATTGGCTGTTGTGGTCACTTCAAGGAACTCTGGCACAACCTACAGCCTAAAAAAAAAAGTGCAAATGGAGAGGTGACAATACCAAAGTTCCACCCAGTGTTAGATTCCAAAATGATGCAAGACAGTCTCTTCTATATTGATGATTTTTTTTTTCCCCGCCAGAAAAAAATAACTTCTGTTTTCTGTTTTTCCAGTTTTTCACTCTGGTACTTTCCTGGTTCTCTGCTACCTATTCTGCCTAGCTGCGCACAGCCTATTAGAGGTGGGTAGGTAGAAACTATCCTCCAGTAACTCGGTTGGACTTTCCTTGTTTCACAGCAGTTTTCAGCACTGCACATGAACAGTTGATCGGCGGCAGCTGGCTTGACACTCAACGTGGCTCAGAGGCATTTCTCTCATCTGATCGTGATCTTAGAACTCTTGCTGGTTTGGAATATAGTGTCTTTTAGAGTCAGTGTACTGATTCTGATTCCTATTGAGCCAGTTTCTGTTTTGTGGCCATAAACAGCATCTTTCCCTCGTGAACCTCGGATGCCTCTGATAACCGGTTACTCTGAAGTAGCCATTACCAGGGGCTAATCTAGGTTGCTTAGAAAGCTTAACACATGCCAGGATTTAAATCTTGAGCATTTTTGCCTCTGTGTGTTTATCTGGTGCCATTTACGTTTTTCTTTTTTTTTCTTTTTCTTTTCTTTTTTTCCAATTTCTCTCTCAAAACTCCACAAAGAAATGGGAAAAATCCACTTTTTGTGCTGAGTTTTATGTTAGTGGGAGAGGCTTGCTCTGTGGAAGAGATAGATTCATGGGGAAGATATCTCCTTTACCTGGAGTCAGACCCAAGGTGCAGCCAGCAGTTCCCTGGCCTTTAAATGAGAGAATGGTATTCATGTCCCACTTGCTGGTCCTTTGCTGATATATCTCTCTCATTAAAACGTTTTCCTTTTGTATGGCATTTTGTGGTTTGCCTTAACCCGCCATTTCACGGATGGTGCCCAATGTGAGGCAAACTCCACTTTTAACATGTCTGGCCTTTTGGAAACTGCAAAGGGGATCAGTTGAGCCATGCCAGGGATGGACAGCATCCCTCCTGCACCTGATGGCAGGAAACCTGGCCAAATTAAAATCAATGGTGAACATGGTATCTCGGTGCCTATTTACATCCATGTGCCACAGAGGCGCTGGAAAATCTACCACCAAAGGTAGGTTGAGACAATTTGATCCTTTGACACTTTACATGTCTGCTAGCCCTTGTGAGCACTAAGGAAAAAAAGTTGGACGAAGAGAGCCCTTGGCCCCCAAGTGCCATTGGAACAGTTGATGCCACCTGACCTTTTTGATTTGAGACCTGTCATTGTGCAATGTGTCACCCACAAGCCTTTATGGGGAATTGGGGTACAGTACACTGACACGGAATTGGACTCCCGGTAATGGTCACAGGAGTCTCTTGAGGCTTGAATTACTTAGGTAATGAAGAGGCTACACCCAAGAAGTATGTACATGAAGCTGAAGAGTGAGCGTTTGGGGTTTACTCTGGGATTCTCTTTTGATGAATGAAATCGGCTAGGCTGACCAGTGGGGAGGAAACAAATGTGCCTGCCCTGTCCTTGAATTGGATGCTCAGAGAAATCAGATTCACATATCCACTAAGAAGAGATTTCTGAGACACAGTATGCAAAGTGGAACAACCCTACTGAGGTCAGAGCTGCTTTGAGACACCTTGGCATTTTAGCATGATTGTATGAAAATTCTCGGCATCTAGGATAACTTGTGACCAAATGACCTTAATTCAGAGAATTCTAGAAAAGTTGATGAGATTTTCCACGAGGACATCCCTATCTTTGCTCCTGCCAGAGTGTAAGGGATAAGATATTCCTTTGAGACTGATGTATGTGCCATCCAAAAGGGGACAATGAGATAAGGAACCCTGGAAGGTGACCTAGGTCTCCGCCAAAATGAAGAGGCAAAGGAAGAGTGCCCCTTTAGACTTCCTCCTGTGGCTCTCTCAGGCATCACATTATGGCTGTTGGTCTTGAACAAAGGAATCACTAGGTAAGGAGGTAGTTGGGAAAATGAGAGAGGCTGGTAAGCTGATAAGCAACCAATATTCTAAGGTTGCAGAAAGAACACAAGGGTGCAGGAAACAAACATGGCTGATTTTAGAGCAAGCATTAAGCCCCCTGTGGAGACCTGTTGCAAGGAGGTTAAGGGTGGGAGGGTTCCCTCTGGAGATGGAGATTGTTTGCTTGGAGAAGGATCTAGAAGAGGAAGCTAAGCAGTTAGGTAGCCACATCTTAACACTGCTGAAACAAGACTCTCAGACACCCTACACCCTCACAGGCCTCTGTGCCACTCCGGAAGCTGATTTTCTAGTCAAACTGCTATAGAGTGTTTCAGTCCCGATTTGATCAATCAAGGTTTGAGTCTGTTTAAACTAAAAGGAAACTTGGCTCAGAGTCTGGTCTCTGCTGTCTTCAAGAAGATGCTAACTTTTTGCCCTAGTCCCTGTAGCCTGGAACATAGGTGGGGGGAGGACTCAACAGTCCTAGACTTAACCAAACCCTGGAGCCCAAGATACTGTCATTCTTTGACCTGATAAGTGCACAGTAAATTTCCCCAGGATTTGACACTGGTTTTACTTCAACCCAGAGACTCGGTACACTTACTGCAGACGTCACTGGCTTCTTTGATGAGACCATGCTCACAGTCCCTTTGTCAAACTGCATAATTGATATGGATATGCTGGGTTCCCTCAGCCAGTCATAGTACGCTGACCTGCTGGGTGGGTGTAGGCATGGTAATGCCTCGTGGTGAATGCTATCAATTAGTCTTATTGAGTCTGAAGAGCCTCCTGTACTTCCAAAGCCTGCCAGGATTGTCCACTTCAAACTGTCAAGTACCGTGAGGTGAGAAAGGAAACAGTCCCTCATACAAAGTTTATTGCCATTGCCAGAAGAAAGTGATAGACCACACTGCCTTCCAATTCCACAGTCCTGTTTATCCAGTGAACAAATCCAGTACCCTTGGCCTCTGATTATGGGTCATTGTGGTTTTAATAGTGGTCACCATGGCATTCACATTGCTTGATATACCAACAGATGACTGAACTGATTGCAGCCATTACTGGCACTTGGTATGGGGTTGTGCTGTCTAATTCTTCAGCCACTAGCCGCATGTGCCTATTGAGTGAAATATGGCTGATCTGAATTTAGATGTGCTGTAAGTGTAGAATACACAGCAGATTTTGAAGACTTAGTTTAAAAAGAATGAAAAATACCTCACTAATTTTTTATATTTAATTGTTGAAAAGTCAATATTTTGGATCTATTGGGTTAACTAAAGTATGTCATTCAAGTTCATTTTGCCTGTCTCTTTTTGCCTTTTTTTCAATAGTGACTACTCGATAATTTAAAATTACATACGTGGCTTATATTATATTTCAGTTAGACAGAATTGCCCTAGATATTATTAATGTCCTCTGGATTTCTCTAGGAAGAAAAAAAATTGTTTTTACCTGGAAGAACATAAAGTTCACCTGTACTGTCCTGTCTCGGGGATTTTGCAATACTTAACACTCTCACACACACACACAAAAACAAACAACAACAACAACATCAACAACAACAACAACAAAAAACGGGGGGGGGGGGGGGAAGATATAACAACCAAAAATTTTTTTTTGAAGTTCTTACAACGAGAAAATGGAGGGGACACATCTGGGTGGGAGGGGGGAGAGGGAGGAGGGAGGGAGGTTTCGGTGATGGGACATAATAACTAACTACATTGTATATTGACAAAATAAAATAAAATAAAATTATCAGTGGTAAAGAATGTTTAAAAAAAATATATTTGCAATGTATCAGTAATGTGTTGGGCAAGGCCCTTCCATTATACTGATGATATTTTGATAGTGACTCTCACAGAGGAAACTATTCTCATTGTAATGTATGCTGTCTAAGCACAGCTGTCCACAGGTGGTGGGCCTTGAATAAGGATAGAGACCAGAGCCAGTTCACTCAAGTGCATATCATGGGGGACTATATGAGCAGCAGCCCAAAGACACATGCCACAGCCTAATAAGGAAAAACTATTGGCCTCACAGACACTAACTACAAAAAAGGAGTACCATGACTTGTTTGGCCTCTTTGGGTATTAGAGGTAGCACCACTACACCTAGGAACATTATTCAAGCATCTGTACTAAGTCACCAGACTAATAGCCGAATTCGAATAGAGACCATTGCAGCAAGAAGCCTCAGAAGCAATACAGTAAAACAATACCTGTTCCTCCACCCCTAATTTATTGTGATCTTATGGAGTTTTATATGTCTGTGACCAGACTCATGCTGATGCATCTGGCAACAAGACTTTGCCAATATTGAAGGTGGGTCATCTCTCCACTGTTGAACACATGCTGTTTGAATGACAGTTGGCCCATTTAAAAGCCCTAGTGGGGGAGATTGTCTCACTGAAGGAAAAAGTGACTCTCAGATCTAACATTCCCATTCTGCAATGGGTTCACTGGACCAAATTCCATAAGACAAGTCTATCAGTGAGGGTCCAGTCAGAAAAACAGTAATCACACCAGTAATTTTAACAATTTAATATAGGGATTAGTTCAACAAATATAAAAAG